TTTGCCTGAACTGGTGAACATTTCATCATAGGTTAGCACTGGTATGTGCATGGGAACCACTTATCTAATATTACCAATTTTAATATAAAAATTTAGTAGAGTTGGCTGGGCATGGTAGCTCACGCCTGTAATCCCAGCACTTTGGGAGGCCGAGGTTGGCAGATCACCTGAGGTCTGGAGTTCAAGACCAGCCTGACCAACATGGAGAAACCCACTCTCTAATAAAAATACAAAATTAACTGGCGTCGTGGGAGGTGCCTGTAATCCCAGCTACTTGGGAGGCTGAGGCAGGAGCATCACTTGAACCTAGGAGGCAGAGGTTGCAGTGAGCCTAGATTGCACCACTGCACTCCAGCCTGGGCAACAGAGCGAGACTCTGTTTAAAAAAAAAGAAAAAAAAGAAGGAAACATGGCTTCCATTTTTCTTTTTCTCCAAGTCATGAATCAGTTCATCCCTTTCCTCAGATCTGCAGCTTCACCATTCTTCCCCACTCACAGTGGCTGCTTTTACATAACAAGGGGATAAGCATCCTTTGTAATCTACTGCAGGACAAGGATTTTTGTATTTGGCAAATCTAATATTGATACAATTGTAGACTTTTAAAATCGAAACTTATATTCATAAACAAAATTCTACTTTTCTAGTATGTATTAGCCTCCAGAATATACTTCACCTTCATACTTCTAGTTGCAAGCGTTTGCAACATATGTCTCCATTCTAGTTGTCAATGAAGAGAAAACCAAAAGAAAAGTTAGGGGCATGGCACTTTTTCTTGGATAATTTCCAGCTTAGGCTAGTTTTGATATGAAGGGCAAATTTCTCATGAAGTTAAATGAAATTGAATCTTTAGAGTCTGGCTCTTGCATAAGGCCTCATCTAAGGCTCCATAGCTAACAAATTCTATAAGCTTTGGGTTCCGTACATCTAATCTGCTTTTTTAAGAAAAAAATTCATAATCAGAATGATCAGAGTGCTGTTTTTCACTTCTGTCAGTGGAAACAATTTTAGATATGATGGCGTAATGATGATGACCTTTTAGACT